GCGGTTCGACTCCCGCTGAGGGTGTTGATAAGACCGATGCGAGGTCGAAACTGTAGTCCACTGGTGCCTGAATGAGAACAACTTTTGGGAAAGCAAGGCTTTGTGCGAATCAATGGAAACGTCAGCTCAACTCATATCATTGTGGAAAAATTCTTCTTCTACCAGTCCTTCATCACCTTGAACGAAATTGGGGAAATACATCTCATACAACTGATTAAATGGTAATCACGAAAACAATACTTAATTCGAAAAATAAATTAAATTCTCAATATTAGATGTATTCAATCAATTTCGATTAAGGATTAGAACATCTTTTGGGAAAGCAAGGCTGTGTGAAATTAAATGGAAACGTCAGCTCAACTTATATGATTGTTGAAAAATTCTTCTTCTACCAGTCCTTTATCACCTTAAAATGAAATTGGGTGAATACATCTCATATTAGTCATTTTTCGTTTGAAACTATGATTTAGAGACCACCAATTGGCCCGATATATTGTTTTTCCCCATTTGCGCCTGTGTTCGCTTAACGACATTATCTTATTCGTCTGCTTTGTCGCCTTGCCAGGCAACGAAATTGACGTGATGGCAGTGAAATACAGTTTCTGGTGAGGCTCGATTGGGTTCACTGCGGGGCCGGGAAAGATGACCTCTTACCTCTACCCTCCGGTCGTGTTTGTTGGAACCTCGTGGAGCTGGCCGAACTTCGCGACGTACTCTCTCGCTTTGACTGTCCGTAGTCGCGGTGGCCCCGTTTCAACCAGCCTCGGCCGACGCTCCGACGCTCCCAATCCGTAGCTTCGCGCAGTCTCTCTCTCTCCTCCCTGGCCTGGATGGAGAGATGCAGTGTGGTGTAGCCGAATGCCGGTATCGGAAGTTTGACGGTAGCCGCATTGAAGGTCAACTCCATGTTGGTCTGTTGCTCGGCCGTCCGGCGTTCCGGAATGCCTGACGTGACCGCCGAGATTGGAGCCAGTTGCCATGGCAACAGATCATTCGTCTGCGATGGATCTCGTGAATTGGCGATGCGCATGTCGCGTAACCGAATTACTACTCGACTGGGATCCATCGCGGCCACCGAGACCGGGAGACGGAGCCAAGCCGAGGTGAGGGCCCACGAGAGCGGATTGTAGACGATGATGAAGAGGCCGTCGTGTCCGGCCGAAGTCACGTAGGGCAGGGATCCGCTCGTGAACCGGCAGATGCTGATGTTGACCAGATCGCAGAAGCCCGGCCCGTCTTGCATCAGACCGGCCAGATCGGGCGTCAGCCGAAGCACCGCCCGTCCAGCCATACCCTCGGCGTCTGTGGACGCTGCGGCAATCTGACGACTGTAGTCCCGGGCAACATGCTGCTTCTCCGTGCCCGTGACTGCGTCGTGATGCTGCATGACTCCGAGGACCTGGCGGAACCGGGCCACCGTCTCCTCTTCGGCCATCGACATGTCCCGTTTCCCGACCTCTACTTTTGCGTTCACGTTGTTGTCGACGTTGGCGTCGGGATATGTCGGCGGTGTGAAGGGACTGTCGCCTGGCGGCAAAAGTACCGGCGTACTCTGCAACGCGATGCTGGTGCTTGTGGCCAACGAGGTGGGGCTGGAATTGGTGTTGAAGTTCGCGGTGGGCATTGTGTTGGCGCTGTCCGACAGCACAAAGTAGGGGTGAGGCGCCGACCTGTTGCGCGGGGAGCGATGTGGCAGTCGGAGGTCGGCGAATCCGGTAAACACATGCAACTGTTTGGGGCGACGGGAAGAGAAGCAAAAGAACACGTCACTTTGACCATTCGGAACGCCTTCTGGCCGATGAACTCGGCCATGTGAGGCAATTAGTACAGTGCCATGTGGACACGATCGAACACAAAACCGGTACATTTGGTCGACAGAATAATTAATACAACTTGCATCACTTTGGGTTTCGAGGAATCTCTCGACATAACCGAAAGTATGAAGACGAGGATTGTGTGGCTTTTGGTATGGTAGCAATCTTCTTTAGTTGTGTAAAAGCAGTTTGACCTT